TCTAAATCTTTTGATAATTTTGTTTGTTGGGCTTTTTAAAGAGAATTTTATAGAACTGTTTCATGTTTAAATTTTATACCTCATTGATCAGACATCTGCTTGGTTTTGAGTACTGGTATGTCTATGTATACCTCAGAGATCAGACATCTCCTTGGTTTTGAGTGCTTACATGGTCTTTCTGCATATACCTCTGTGTGGTTATGAGTGCTGTCTGTAAAAATTTAAGGATCTGGCAGTTCATAAATTTAACTTTATGCAGAGCTTTTTTGACGGAACCAAATTATTGAAGTGTACATTTTGCAGTTTTTTGATAAAGTTAATATATTTTTAGCTCACCTGAGCCCAAAGTTCAAGTGACTGTTTTTGATCAGAATTTGTCTGTTTTTGTCATTGTTGTTGTTGTAAACTTTTTACATTTTCATCTTCTTCTCCAAAACCGCTGGGCCAGTTTCAATCAAACTTGTCACAGAGCATCCTTGGGAGAAAGGGATTCAAGATTTTTCAAATGAAGGGCCACACTCTCTTTCAAGGGGAGATAATTATTAAGAATAAGTAAAAATTTAATGGCATCTTTCTGAGTCTTTTTCTGGAGAACCACTGGGCCAGAAAAGATGAAACTTATGTAAAAGCTTCATTACATAATGTAGATTCAAGTTTGTTCAAATCGTAACCCCTGGAGGGGTAGGGTCACAGGTAACACAATGGGTGATCAAAGTTAATTTACATTGGAATGCATACTAGGAAAAAAGTTTTTACAATCGACTACTGTAGATTCCTTATTTTACGCGAGTACTTAATATCGTGAAATGGCCCAATGACGTCAAATTGCGAGGACAATAATTCGCAAATGGGTGATTTATCTAGAGATTTGACATACATTAAAGTACCATAAAAATAAAAGCGAGTAATTTAATTTCATAATAGGTGCTTCTCGGGTAATTACGCGATAATTTATTCCTCGCGTATATTTAGGAATCTACAGTACTCAAGATCAAAAAAGCCTTTATATGGAAGCAATCTCAGGTAGTGTAGATTTAAGTTTATTCAAATCATGATCCCTGTAGTAGGGTTGGATCACAATTATCTTCGCTAGCCAAAGGTTTCTGATCTGCTACTCTCCTCACAAACCCTTGGCCTATTGTGCTAGCAAAATTCGCAATTGTTTACAACTTGTGATTCGAACCTTACCTCATATGCACAACTTGCTTCATAATTGACAGAATTAAAGTGCATTTTTAAAAATTTAAATATTGAAAGAAAATTAACAACAGGTATGGAGCAATATTAAATTTGTTATTTAGGGTGCAAATCTTCATCTGCAATATACAGGTAACTCTCGATACCTCGAAGTCCGCGGGACCGAGGAAAAACTTCGAGAGATCAAGAGTTCGAGTTTTCAAGAGTCCGGAATTTTCCGGGTTTGTAGACTGGTTTTAAAATTAGTCTTACCGGATGTAATGATTTTCATGCAGTCTCAACCTTTTACATGTGGCTTTTATAAAACAACTATATTTTTTCGTAATTTAGATGAATATTTCATTAAACTGAGTAAAGCAAAAATGTATATCGTCATTTCATGTATATTTATTTATTCTTTGTAATACAGACATCATACTACGCATTTGTTACATGAAAACGACATTTTACAGCGTCGTACACGTATAAAGCATGGACTATTCCAAACATGATCACTGAACGCAGTATTTTAAGTATTTGTCCAATAATAGTCGCCATATTGACATTGCAGCTGTTTCTGCTTTTTCATATTTCGTTTAACTTTGACACTGACTTGAAATAAAAATTAAATTAGTGTTTCGTCTTTTAATCAATTACTACTTTTCACTGACACTGCGTCTCTCAATTATCGTAAGACAGTCGATGATAATTATTTTAATAGCATATAGGCAAATTATGATTCATTATAAATCAATTATCACCTTGCAGCATAAGTGTCACCTGAATAAACATCCCGCTCCTCGAGACCCGCGTCTTCTGCCTTGGGCCATTTAAATGTCCAGGTATAGGTGCTAATTATATAACCTTGTATACACATAGCCACTTCGAGGTATCGAGGGTAAATTCTAATAGAATATGCATAGCGGGACTGCATTTTGACTTCGAGGGATCAAGGGTTTCGAGAGATCAAGAGTTCGAGAAATCAAGAGTAAATTTGCTTAGTTATATAGGGGGAAAAATCGGGACCGGAGACTCACTTCGAGCGATCAAGAACTTCGAGAGATCGAAGTTCGAGCCATCAAGAGTTACCTGTACATTATTATGATATAGATTCCATATTACATTATATGTCAACTTAAAGTTGGATGACACCATAGTTATTGAATGAATGTTATCTTATGGATCATAGTTAACCTTTGTTTTTCATTCCCAAGACTGTAAAGTCAAGAGACATGCCAGACGGAGATATCCTCATTTACAAAAGCAATCGCTGATTAGTCAAACAATATCCATTAAGTTCAATCACAACGAGAAAGAAATCCCACTTTTGATAGCACAATAGGTCAAGGAATTGTGAGGAATGTAGCGGATCAGAAGCCCTTGGCTAGCAAAAATAGGCCACAATAGGAGATCACAGAATATATAGGGGGAAAGAACAGCAGGGCCACAGTTTATCAGGTGATTGTTGTGGTCCATGGGCCTCTTGTATTTTCATGCTCTGAGATTTTAGGATTGGGATGTTGCTTCAACTGTTTGCCATATCGCATTAATGGAATTTGACCCATAAAGGTCAAGGCTGTAATGTGAGGTCAAGAAATTCTTAAGTTAGAGGTCAACTTGCAAATTGCTTGTACATAAATTTTTAAGGACTTAAGTGACAGTCTTATATGAGAAATGATTTAAGGAGGATAAACAAGAAGATTTTATGCAGACATTAAAATAGGTCATTAGATAAGACCACTGCAAAGGAGGCATGGACAAAACATATCATTGGGCTGTATAAGGAAATCAGGTTTTATCCGTTTGATAACTGTTAAATATCTCAAGAAGGTCAGTGTATGCATGAACCTTCAGCTATAAAGTTTTAAATTGCCTCTAATCGGTGGGTTTGTTATTTGAATTGTTATGATTCTACACTAGAGAGCTCCCCTAAAGGGCTTATTTCTCCATGTGGGGTAAAAAAGTTCTTCCAACCTAGCAGGTCCTTGCTAGATCCATGTTTAAATGTTGCACAAATGTTGATTTGATTTATCTGAACCATATCAAATCTTGACACCTCTTAAGGACTAGAATTTTGAATTCCATGCAGTTGAAACGTTAGTTGTGGTGATAAGGTTCAATATTATCTTAAACTTACAGGTATTCAAACTTTTAAGGGAGACATAGAAAGAATATTTGTAGCACCTACATTGTTTTCATAAATTAAGAAAACACCATTCAAAGGACTACTCCAAAAGCTACTCTTAATATGTATTCAAGTGTTGAGAGAGAGAGATGTTTTTGCATATGCATCACAGAATTACTGTGGTTGATATGCCCTTTTGATGTTGACCTTCTTTTAATTCACAATTTTGATAATAAACATCCTGACTTGTAACTGCAAGCTCTGCACACCAGTTAACATGTAACTACACCTACACAATCTCTGGCCACCAGTTAATGTGTAACTACACTGACACAATCTCTGTCCATCAGTTAACATGTAACTACACCTACACAATCTCTGTCCACCAGTTAACACGTAACTACTCCTACACAAGCTCTGCACACCAGTTAACATGTAACTACACCTACACAATCTCTGTCCACCAGTTAATGTGTAACTACACTGACACAATCTCTGTCCATCAGTTAACATGTAACTACACCTACACAATCTCTGTCCACCAGTTAACACGTAACTACACTGACACAATCTCTGTCCATCAGTTAACATGTAACTACACCTACACAATCTCTGTCCACCAGTTAACGTAACTACACCTACACAATCTCTGTCCACCAGTTAATGTGTAACTACACTGACACAATCTCTGTCCACCATTTAACATGTAACTACACTGACACAATCTCTGTCCACCAGTTAATGTGTAACTACACTGACACAATCTCTATCCACCAGTTAACATGTAACTACACCTACACAATCTCTGTCCACCAGTTAACATGTAACTACACCTACACAAGCTCCGTCCACCAGTTAACATGTAACTACACCTACACAATCTCTGTCCACCAGTTAAAGTGTAACTACACTGACACAATCTCTGTCCACCAGTTAACATGTAACTACCCCTACACAAGCTCTGTCCACCAGTTAACATGTAACTACCCCTACACAAGCTCCGTCCACCAGTTAACATGTAATTACCCCTACACAAGCTCCGTCCATCAGTTAACATGTAACTATACGTACACAAGCTCCGTCCACCAGTTAACATGTAACTACCCCTACACAAGCTCCGTCCACCAGTTAACATGTAACTACACCTACACAAGCTCTGTCCATCAGTTAACATGTAACTACACGTACACAAGCTCTGTCCACCAGTTAACATGTAACTACCCCTACACAAGCTCTGTCCACCACTTGACATGTAACTGCACCTTTGCAAGCTCAGTCAGTTGAAAACTCGTCATTTCTGATCACCTTATTTCTGCAAGCAGTTGTTTACGCCCTGAATACCCAAACATTTCTAGGCTAAAAGGATCTTGGTTTTTTTTTTTTAATTTTGTGAAAGTAAGATTTTCTTGACAAAATGGTATGTCATCTATAATGCTTGTTATTTGCTAAAATGATACTTGTTTCTTGGGCCTTGCTTTAGACATGTGCTTAAGGCACTAATTTTTCATCAAGACTTAAGTTAATACCCCTCTAAAACCAAGGACTAGTTTGTTCTGAATCTTTTGTATAGTTTTATGAGTAACCACTAGTATACAGTAAATAATGGAAGGAAGGAAAATTCTAAGAATATTGTAAATTTTGCATGAAATCTGCATTCATATTTGCATATACAATAAAGATGTTCAAATTCTATTTCCAGGTCTCAGTTACCATGGATAGATATCATCTTGGATACAGCTTTGACCTTTTACATCTCCTGGACTCAGACCGTTTGAAGTGCTCCATCTACAATGTCGTAAATCACCGTGATTGCTGATTTCTGTACAGATGTTGAGAGGTTCCTTTTATAGGTCCCTCAGCTGTTTGGAGTTAACCTTATTGTTCTACTCAGTTGACTGAGAGTTTTGATTACTTTTCCTAGTGAATTAATCATTCATCTACAATTTTTAGTCCCACTGGAAACTCTGAATTTACAAATATACCTGATCTCGATCCATTGTCTTGCTTCCTGATTGTAAAGGGCTTTATTGTATATAGCTATAACTTGTGAGCTAATTTGGAACCCATCTTTCTCCCAGGAATACTAGAAATGCAATGCACATATTCATTATAATTTTGCAATCATTTGAAACATTTATTTCTAAGCATTATATCCAATATTCTTAAATCATCATTACAAGAATAGTACATGATGTACACAAATGGGTAATATTCCTAGGCTTTTGAATGTACATATATATATGCATAGAAAGTTCGTGATGCAGATGTTTGGTGCAATGGAATTGGTCGGAATTTTTTTTATACATATTAAATTTCAAATATAAAAATGTTTGAAGATCAAACACTTCTCAGTAGTATGATTTTTCCAATTTTGTTTTCAAACAAAATCTCAGCACTGGTATCAAGATTTTTTTTTAAAAACTAACTTAGAGAAGTTTTCTAAATTTCTACAGTCTCTGAAATGTTCTACCATTGCTTTTTCAGGTCTGCTTAAGTTCATCATTTGCTCTCTGTGGTTAAATTGTGAACTGAAATAAATGTGACAACAAAATAAGTACAGGTATTTTAAACCCTGATGTACTATGTGAATACATAAGACAACATAAATGAAATTTGGAAAGCTAATAAGAATACAAGGAAGGAACTGGTATTTTACATTTTTCCTGTTCAACGATCATTCAATATGTGTTCAACGTTCAATTGTATTCACACTCGATGTTTACTCCCTGTTCATCATTTACTCTTCATTGCTCCTAGCTTCATTCCGCCTGGTTAGGGGTACTAGAACATTTCAGGGACCTGATTTGAACGCATTTTTTATAAAACATAAATGGATTAGATAGCAGGCATTGCCTATATAAGCCCTCTACAGAGGTAAAAGGTTCATTTAAATCATATAATATGTACTAAATATAGTTAACAGGTACATAACATCAGTAAGTTGTATTTTAAACTGATTGAGAATGAAACGGGGGATAAAGATTTAAATGCATGATTACCAGTTTTATGAGGGGAAAAAAAAGGGGGAAAAGTTAGTAAGTGGGATGTACCGCAGAAATAAAATACAAAGTGTCATTCATTAGATTACATGAGTTTACAGGGACTCAGCATCGTAACAGCTTATAGTGATAATAAACTGTGAACTGTCATTTATAGACAACTGTCTCATTTGTCAATGTAAATACTGCTTTAAAGAACCCTAAAAATTTTATTTTCATAAAATACTTCGTGTGAAAATACAGAGGTAAAGAGAAAATTTGGTAAGAGTGTGTTGATGCACATTGTCAGAAGGAAAAAGGAGAACGTTTATGATCCAGTGTGATTGTACACTAGGATATAATGTATTGTGGTCATGTTTTTGTTACTCAGTATAATATATACATGTACTGTGGTCAAGTTTTGTTAATTTGTTGGATGTGACAAGAATAACATTTTTTCATGGTGCCAAAGTATGATTGTTGAGAACTTTTATTTATGAAATGTAGATCAATTGTAGAATATGCAGATTGGTTTTTGATTCTTTTTTTGCCTATCCTAGAGTTATCCATGTAAAACACATGATAAATAATTGATTACATTTTATCTAATTTTATTATCTTGTGCTCTCAAAATTCTTGCAAAGAAAGCAAAATTTGGATTATTGCTTAAAGGGTCAAAGCTATGAATTTTCCTCTTTTCACATTCAATTTAATCATCAGACATTTTGATTCTGATCTAAAGACAAATTCTTTTATCAATACCAGCAACTTATCTGTTTATCTTGAATCGAGACCTTTTCCAATGGTCCACGTTTGTATAGTTTGTAAAAGACGATTTTATTTAGAGTCCAAACTCTGAATGTTTTTCAGAAATTTTGTTATTGTTTTGATTTGATATTTGTTTTATTTTGACCAAACTCAAGCTATGGCCAGAAAGCCAGGTGACAAATGACTTCAAAATATTAACTTTCTTCCAATAATCAAGGTTATGTAAATATGTATTTCAAAACTTAAATGTTGTAAAGACAGTCATTTTTGTAGGGGAGACTCAGACATGTTTTGGTGGATAAAAAGGGAACATTCTTTTTGGTTTTTTGTAATGGCTATGTTGCACATGATTTCTTCAATTGTTTGCTATGAACGCTACTAATAAAAAGGCACAGTCTTCGTTAAGGTTTTTATTTTGTTTTGGAGGTGACAGACCTGTCAAAAATTGTTGCATAATCCAGGATACCGAGTCTTTCACACCATGCAGTAACCCCCCATATATTACACAGTCCAGAGCAAGTCAATGAGATTATTGCACAGACAGGTCCAGATGAAAACAACGGTACTGTGCAGCGTTCAGCTTGTATCTTTCATTAATTATTTACTTGTATTTTTAGTTCTGAAAAACAAGGGAGATCTTTTTTCCTGAACAATTCACTTGTTAATTAAATTCATGCTCATGGTTTAAAGATCAGATTTTCAAACTGTGTGACATTTCATTAAAGTCGAACCTTTACCAAAATGAGCAAAGTAAACACTGTATAACACGTAGAATTGCACACCATGCTAATCCATTTGTTAAATAGTTTCAGTATGGAATAAGCACGCGTTGAACGTGGGTAATTTGAAGTGTTATAGTCCTTTTATCGGATAAGCTTAGAATTATGCATTGTGTGGTTTTGAATGATAGGCGGATTCAAGAAGTGTGCAAAATTTCCGATTTTGTTGCTCACACACGTTTATATTTTTCTTTCCTATAGCAAATATAATTTTAAAAACTTTTCGTTTGTACATGTATACCATTAAGAATATTTAAAACTGTTTAATGAATTATGTGAATATAAATACAGTTGACTTGATCTTTACTAAAAGCTTTTCTCTGTTGTTACATCATTGCGCCTTGACTTCCTGAAAGAAGAAAGTCCGATTCTCAATGAATTAATGATGAAAAGAAAAACGCTAGCTCATGGGGAAATACACAAATACTAGCATTTCTACTGTCGGGCATGTTATAGGAAAGATCAATAATCGATCAGGAAAAGGGCTATTGTAGAATTTACAGTCAATGTCTTGTTTAAGGATAGAGAATTACTAATGTAAGTCAAACAAAAATAAAAAGAAAACATGCCACTGTAAAAGTCGGTATTTTCATACCGGGTATATATGCTGAAAAATTCGTTATTCTTGCCCGCGGTTTAGTCTTTGTTCTTTTTTTTCTTCAAGGAAGTGCATATATCAGAAATGCATGTTTCACAGAAAGATTGACTTTCAGTATACGTGATCAAAATAAAGTATCCGTAAAAATGCACTTGGATTGTAAGTGGATAATTGTTCTGTTTTGTTTTTTTAATTAATTAACCTATATACATGCATGTAACATTTATTCATTAAGATATTTCATTGGTTGCCTGGTTTTTGTTTTCGCCCTTTCATGCTAAACTTATTAGATGTTCTGAGTTTATTATTTTAATACAAATTCTTAAATTGGACCAATAGTCCAACAAGTTGATGCTGTGCCGGAATACATGTAGTCCTTTCGAAACTGCGAACTCTAATTGATAATTTTGATAAGCTGATCTTCTTTATTAATAATTACATGTATCCGCTGACCTTTGTTTTAAATTTCAGGTGCTGCGTTAGTCATATTTTTACTTAATGTGACATTGTTTTATTCAAGAGAAATATTTTTAGGTCACATGAGTCACTTTGGTGACCAATCGCTGTTCCCTTCTATTCGTCGTCCGTTGTTCATATAAGCAATGGGTGCGTTTTCCGTGAAATGGCTTAAAACCCTCAGGACCAATTTTAGTCTTTTCTATAGCTTTTCTACAGCTGAAAAGACGTAAGAAAGTTATATTACAGTTCCCTTCCACCCACCCGGGGCCCGATTTAAAAGTCCCAAGGTCACAGAAATTCATAAATTTTCAAATTTTTTTACTCCTGGACATCTTTATCAATATTCCGTCGACACGGTGCAACTATAAGTCATTTACATATGGCCCCTCTCTTTTGCATTAAATACCTTAATTGTTAGACCATTATTTACACTTTGAATTGTCTACGGATTTTTCCGTTTGTCTCATCATGACAAGGAGAACACGATGAGTGTGACCGATGGAGAGGGGATGCTTACTCCTCCATGGCACTTGATCCCACCTCTGATGCTTTTAGGGGTCCGTGTTTGCTCTGCTCCCAATTTGTATTGTTTCAATGGACTTCTGAGCTTGAATACTGTTCTTTTCTTCATGTTTCCTTTCAATATCCCCCCCCCCTCTCTTTTCGAAGGAAATGTTCCCAGCTTAATGAAAATGGCCCAATAGTTTAAGCGAGGAAACTGGAGAACTGTTTAATTAAAATGAACTTCATGCAAAGAGGACCTGTAAAGAAGTTTGTGTCAACATATCAGATGTTTATGTCGACTTGTCAGATAATAATAATCATCATTAAAATGTGCTAATGCGACTCGCTGAAATTTTCTTGTCATCATAATAACTGACAAGTCGAAATATGTGCATGTCTAACTAGCAAATATAATTACCTGACAAATCTATAATTTTCTGATAAATCGATTTCTGACAAGCCAACATAATTGTATGACAATGTGACATATTATCTGACAACTCGATATAATTTCTGACAAGTCAAAATTATCTAACAAGTCAACATAATAATTTGAAGTCGACTTGTCAAATATGTGGACTTGTCAGATGATGATGTCGTCTTGTAAGATTTATATGTCAACCTGTCAGACATTTATATGGACGTCAGTTGTTATGGTGTGACCGGTCAACAGGGGATGCTTACTCCTCCTAGGCACCTGATCCCACCTCTGGAATTTCCAGCGGTCCGTGTTAAATGCCCTTTTCACATATTTGTATTGTTTGTGGATTTTTTTGAGATCGATCACTGTTCGCTGTCTTTACCTTTTACATAAACATCTGACATCTAAAGATAATAATGGTAACTCTCATGCATACTTTTATTTGCATGAAATTATTTGCATTTTTAAACGTTGACATGGTTTCTTAGTTCAGTTTACACTTTTCTGTAGAAATGACGCGTTCCAGTGTTGTACCGGATTATGGTAACATGGATTATACATTTTGTATTTTACTGATTTAATTTGTCAATAATAAATAATCAGCATTATCCCTCTGTATATAACATGTCAGGAATCCGATAGTGCTTACCCGACATTTCCTTCCTATAATAACATTGAAGTATAGCACCATGATCTTTTATCGGGGTTGAAAAATGGAAGAGTTTTTATGATAACGTAAAGTATTTCTTTTATCCAGATCGATGTAAAGCAAATTATAAAACCCCAACATGCGTGGTCATTGGATTGCCGTAAAACACATATCTGTACCATTTTCACCAATACTCCATTAGAGAAATTCGTATCCGATTATTAAACTTGTTTATGGTTCGATCTCCATACCATTTGAACCAACAAATAGAGAGATCAAGGTCAAAGAACGTTGAAAGCTGTATTATTATTATTATTATTATTTATTTTTTTTTAATAACTTTAATTTAGAATATATAGTCTCGCATGCAATGGATTCAATGCAAAATACCTAAGAGATTTTTTGGACATCTATTGAACTGCATGTACTTATCCTTTGAGAAAAAATGGAGGAAATATACCTTTTTGTGCATAAACATTCAATAAAGATGATTGGTGAAACATTCTGATTGAATATACCGACAAAGAAATTTTAAATTACAGTGAACCTGTCTAATCCGACATCCAATGGGAAACAAATTTTGTGTCGGAATAAACAGGAGTCGGATTCCAGTGTAAAAAACGTGGAAAATAGTAAATTAGGAATGAAAATCGTGGTCGGGATTCACAGTGGAACGGATTGCACAGGTGTCGGTTTAGACAGTTTTCACTGTATATTTTTCGAAAGCAGATCAAAGAATTACCAAAGATCTGCTGCGTTTCTATAACGGGGTTTATCGATCAGAACTGAGTTATATGAGGACTGGTTACATCAAGAAATACTTAGAGTTTCATTTTCTGATACTGACCAAAAGTGTTAAATCTAAACAAAATTCACAAAGTGTATTTCAATTCGTAAAAAAAAGTGTCCAGAACCTAAGCTGAATTCTCCGCTTTTGATAAAATACAAATAAAGTGGCAAAACCTAATTGTCATTCAGCTTTACAGGCGGGACTTTGATATACATTTTTTTAAATGAAGACATTAAACCTTTCTTTTTTAATTCTCTATCTGCACCGATAATTCTTTTTTGGAATGTTCGATTGCCATAGTTTGATATACCCACTGATCTGAAACGTTTTCTTGCTATTTGACTTTCTTAATCTACAAAACTTACGTATAAAACACCAATTTAACTCCTTCAGACCTCAACTAATCCTTGTCTATCAGTCAGCATTTAATGCTGAAATCTGATACCTTGCTTTTGGGGTAGACAGGAACATAGATACATGTATATAGTTACGCTCAACAGTAAGCCTGGTATCGTTACAATAGTTAAAGACCAAGCCAGTGGACTTACACTGACTGTTAATGTAATATCGAGCTAGATACCCGATTTTTACCTTAGAATGTGATGCCTTGAAAAAAAATCAGATAAAGACGTGTGAACTAAAGTTCTGTCTAAATATATTTTAACTAAGAGTGGAAGGAAGTTATCAATGCCCAATCATATTATTGGGTTCCAATCTTTAACATTTTTAAAATGATAAAGTAGCAAGATGATGTCAAATTAGCAATTATGCCACGATTGCTAATGATTGAAATAAACATAACTTAATTTGGGACTACATGTATTTTCAACTTGACCAACCGCAACGATCATGGCAGAAGCTTAAAGAATTGTTAACAGGTCATATATAAGGCTTTATAGCATACAGTAGTGAGTAGTGTTTGAAGATATTGGAGAAGGATAAAGGGTGTTGTTTCAGATTTTCTAAAAAATTGGCCCAGAAATTGCCTAGGATCTGACATCAAACACTGTCAATTAACATATTAGACCTCAGTGCTTTATGACATAAAAGTAGGTCACAATGACCTCATTTAGGAATTCTGCAGGTAAAAGTACAAAATCAAATTGTCTTAGACCACGTACATGTACCTTGCAGTGACAAAGTATCGGAGAATGTATGGCCTCGAATTTTTCAAATGGTGTTTCTTGGAAATAGATGTATTTACTTGGACTAAAGAGTACTGATAGACACCATGTTATGAAACTCGGTATTCTAAGATTTTGGTTAAAATTCCATATGATGCATGTGAAACTAAGCTTTAATGGCAGAAAATCCATCAAAATGAAAAAAATCTGTTTTTTTTTTTTTTTAAACTAGAATTAGCTGTTTTTCTGATCGAAATTTGTCCATTGCCTATCAACATCGTCCATGTCGTAAACTTTTCACATTTTCGTCTTCTTCTCCAGAACTACTTGGCCAATTTCAACCAAACTTGGCATATAGTACCCTTAGGTAAAGTGGATTCAAATTTATTCAAATGAAGGGTTATATCCTCTTTCAAGGGGGAGATAATTAAGAAATAGTGAAAATTGGGCGGTTCATTTAAAAATCTTCTCAAGAACCACTGGGCCAGAAAATATGAAACTTATTTGAAAGCTTCCTGACATAGAGTAGATTCAAGTTTGTTCAAATAATGCCCCCATTCTGGGAGGGGGGGGGGGCTCAATAGACAATCCAAGTGTTACTTTAAATTAAATCAGTGAAAAATAAACACAATAATATTGGCACAAAGTTCACATCTGCAACACCATGTTGGTTATCAAAAAAAAAAAACATCTTACAAAGTACACATAGATTAAATTATTATTTGGGGGTGGGGGGATAAAATCACATTTTAAGGAGGGTGCTCTATTCTATGGTCCATGTTTTGCTTTCCATCTTTTGATCAATTTTTTGTTGTTGCAAATCTTGTGAATGATTTAGGCAAATTTTGCTAGGCACCATAATCATCCTCACCACTTAATTTGCTCAGAAGCCAGAAGTAAATGGGTCTACAAACCTATACGCTCTATGACTAGCTTACATTAGATGGCACGACTAAAGTATTGCTAAAAGCACCACACCTCCAGAAAATCAATTAAGTCATCACTAAACTTATAACAAGCAGGGTTTCTCTTTCATGACCATCTGATTTAAGACTACTTCCTACAGTTACCATCACAACCAATTAATGCAGATTTTCTCAATCACAATTCTGTTAAAATTATAAGTAACAGATAAACCACAAAGTCCACATTTCTTTCCATTCTGGTGAGGACATAAAATAGCAATAATTCCTATCAGGACAATAGGTTCCAATTTGTTGTATGGTCCACTGAGAGAAAACAGCACTCTTAATATCTTAAACACCCATACACACTATCGACATCTGATCATAGTTTCAACCATTTGGTAACAAAACAACTTAATTTCTTTGAACCTGCCAATATTCCTTGCCCCATTAAATGAACCTGAAGCATTTTAAATCCAGTCTTTGATTACACGGTCCTTAATAATCACATTATTCATGAATAAGAAATCAGTTTTCTGTCCATTTAAATAATCCTTGGAATAACTCAAGGATATAGCAGGCAAGTACTTATCCCCCAAAACTCAAATTGCAGCGTTGGGGAAGCATGGAATTATAACATAGTCTTCCGAGTAATTAAAAAAAATATTACTATCACCTTTGATGCATTTTTACCAAGTACATTTACCAATATATTTGTAATCATCAAAAATCACAATTCAACACCTTGATAAGATTTCCTGTGTGTTTTAATATACATAATTGTCAAGTACAGTTTTAAAAAGACATTTCAATAGAAGTGAGGAGATTTTTGAATTAAGAACAAACAAAGGGGCATATTATGCATTTTTCAAACACAAATACACCACTTTCTTAGAGGAGTGAAGAACCAAATTCCCTTGCATTGTAAGGGAACAAAATTGCTAAGTTTTATGAAGTTTTGCTTGGTACTAACTACAGACAGACAAACAGACACTCCACAGTGATTTAAAAATAAAAAAATGAAATCAAAGAAGTTGTAGAAAACCAGCAACACAAGATTTGGACTGTTTGAGGGTATGATAATTATAATGTTAGTTTGTTCTATATATATAAATATATATATATATATATACAGCATTGTATGGACAAACAGAAAAAAATCTCAGACCAATCGTTGGTCAATTATTCCACTATTTACAAAATTCATAAAAATGATGTAAAACTATATATAAACAGTGGAAATATATATAAAACACATTTTAAATAAAACAGTTTTGGGATATTTTAACAGATCACACTTCAAAATAAAAAAGAAATATAATTTTACTATGCACAAAAAATATGAAATTTTTGTTTAAACAAATTTAAAAATAACATTTTTCTTCCAATCACAACTTCCTTATAAACACACAACATGCATCAATCATGAAAATGTAAAAACCTTCAGATGTAATCTGTATGACGATTCTTAACAAGAGTAGGATATGGCAGTAAAAAGATAAACATTATGTTCACACGGTACATGTAAATAAACAGGATGGGGTTCCATACAGTACATATTTACGTTATTCTGAGAGGCTTGGCTAATTTGGCACTTTGGCTCTGATCTGACACCTTGCATTATTTTAAAAATATCTGCTGTTAAATATTCATGGCATTTTTTTTTGTTAAAATAAACTATAAAGGAAACTCATTTTACCACTGAAAAGTGAAAATACGCTATT